CATTAGAATAACCCACGAATGGCTTTTATGACTTCCATTCTGCAGCCAAATTACTTTTGCGCTCGCAAGAACGAATATGTAGCCCACATTGTCTTCAACTGCTGACATGCCGTTTCAATGTTAATTCTAGAACATTCTCTTGTAATAATGCCGACACAAAAATATATGAATTTTGTTGGGCCAAACAACGGTTAAATATTAAAAATATAGATTTGCTAGAATGTAAGCATTCCGAGTTCCTAAAAAGACCTGAGTGCAGATGTCCCGCATTGACTAATATACGCGGGTGGTAAGTATATCTTATGTCTGCATGGACCGGCTACGTAGCGTTTTATTTTGTAGGTGAATACGGCCCTCATGTACATGAACCAGATCTTGCAGGGTTTTTTGGCGAAAGCTACAGAAGATCCCCTCAGCATAAGCAAACGTCTAATTTCACCAAATATGTCGGATTTCCGGCTAATGTAGCAAACTGTTCCGCATCCCAAGAAGTTCCAGTTTATTTAAATTAGGAAGGTCTGACATTGATCAAGGGAATAAATGCCCACTAAGGTGCGCAATTACGCATTTTAATCCATCTTTTAAGATTGGCGATAAACTAATTTCCCATGGACGTCATAAAAAGGCATAAAAACGATGGGCACACCTCAACCGCGATGCGACTGAAAAAGTGATTTATATAACAGTAAATTGTGAGAAGAAGACCTCAGAAGAGGGGTTGATTTTGTATTGAATTAGCATTCGAAAAAACGACTTTTCTTTTGATCTTCGTGACCTGAGTGCTGATTTTTTAAACTGTTGTCGGCACACGTTTACGTCGTGTTGTTTCGTATATGTATCTTTTTTCCTTTGGTCCTCTTCAGAATAAGAGTGGGAAGTCTAACCTCATTTTGTTCGTTACCCTTCCCTATTTTTGTAGAATCAACTTGATCGTTTCGAAAAGCTCATGTCGGATATGCTTGACTACCTGAATTCGGTTTCCAAAGCCCAGCCCTCGGAATCCTCGGCCATTGAAGCACAGCTGCAAGAAAGCGTCGAGGCCCTCCGTGACATGGAGAATATGCGTCCAGACTTGGCTTTAATGGACGTCGATGCAAACAAACTTGAGGAATTCTTCTCCCCAGCCTACCTCCAGGTATTATTTCCTACTTATTTGTTAACACTATTAAGTGCAGACACGTTACATTTTCAAAATTAGTTCAATAATTTAGTGAGGATTGATTATTTACAAAGTAATCTCGAGGCAGAAATTCAACAGCAGGGGACGAAAGAGGTTGGGCTTCACACCACCAATGAGTTTCTGTGCACTAGAAAAACTCCTACTGATCTTATGTCATAAGGCGTAGCTTCCAGGCCAATTAAAATTTATCTTGTATTTGGACGTGCGTAATTGGCTACTTGACTTATGTGTTAGGTCATTGGACACGCCAAGTTGAAAATATGTGATCATCATTACTCTGTGGAGTTTGTAGCTCATGAAATTTTAATCAACATTTTGAAAAGTGTTTTGATTCGAAAAATTCGTTGAATATAGTTATAACATTAAATATAATATAGCCCAGTTCCAAGCTATTCTAGCTGGCTTTTGAAGGGAATCTTTCGGTTTAGAAGAATTTGCGCAGTTTTCAAATAATATTAAACCCAATCCGCCGTTAAACTTAAATTTAGGCTTTGCAAGCTGTCTGTTGTATATCGTGTCAGGAGGGAAAATCACGCAGTGCTGTAAGCTGCGAGGAAGACTCAAGCGAAAAACAAGTTTCAGATATTTGTTTGAAATTTAATGAGATCAGAAGAAGATGCGACCACCGGAACAAGAGTTTTATTTTCTTGAAGTTTCTGATTCCGTCAAGAATCCGTAATCATAGGTAATGGTATCATAGTCATAGTCTTGCGCAGATAGGGTTGAAACATGCACAGCTTGCACGGTATTTATAGTTCGTAGTGGTCATGCGAGTGCGTACTATTAACATCCACTCCTATAGCCACCACTTGGGTCTAAATTGATGTGGTTAGTCCACTAACAGCCTATCTGACGT